ACTTGATTTGGTTGATTATTGTTAAAGGAAGATAGCAACACTATATTGATTATCAATGGAATTGGGATTGAAAGCAATTTTTGTTAGATTCTAAAACATTTTTAAATTATCCTAACTATCAAAAATTTAAATTGTACAACGAAATGAAAACTAAGTTTAAAAACAAACAATTTTGTGTCTTACTTAGAAAGATGAAGAAAAAAAAATGAGACAATACGTACAACATCTTGAAGATTAAATAATGTAAACAATAATTTTTGAGTGATGAAAGTTTTTTTTTTTTTTTTTAAGTTTATAAATAAAAAAATTATTTAAGAAATATAAGAAATACCCAACCCATTTACATTTGAGTCAACCCATCTAGATAAGAGTCAACACATAACTCCATCTCACAATGCGTTGCTATTAAGAGTCCCGACCATAAGTAGGATGTAGACCATATCCCCCTTGAATTTATACAACCAAACAAGAGAAGGTTTGGACATTGGTCTATTTGTTTATGTACATGTATGTTTTTTTTCTAAGAATGATCAAGAGAATGGGATGATATGTTTATCTATTATTGTAGATTTTTGTTGGATTCTCTACAAATTAAAAATCACTTTGCTAGAGTTTGGATATCAAAATATTAAAATAAAAAATAAGTTTAAAAGTAAATAAGTATGTGTTCTACTTAAAATGATGACAAAAGGAAAATGGGACCGCAAATGCTGCATTTCGAGAATAAAAATAATGTGTACAACAATTTTTTGTGTGATAAAATTTTGGATATTAATGTATAGGATTATGAAAAATTAAGTAATTCTAATAAAAGGTAAAATAATACACAACTTCTTGAAGATAAAACTAATGTAAAACTAATGTAAGAAGCTAACTTTTGGGTGACGAAAAATAGGATATTAGTATATTTGTTTCTGTACTTGTAGTTGTCTTTCATTTCAAGGATGATCAAGAGATTTGATTTGGTTGATTATTAAAGCAAGTTAGCAACAATATAATGCAACCATTATTAATGGAATTGAGATTGCAAGCAAATTTTTTTGTTAGATTTTGAACTAATTTCAAATTGATCTACCTTGTACAATAAAATGAAAAGGAAGTTTTAAAAACAGATAATTATGTGTCCTACTTAAAAAGATGACAAAAGAAAAAAAAAAGAGACAATACACGTAGCATCATAGAGATAAAGTAATGCAAACAACACATTCATCATATCACACTGTGTTACTTTTAGAGAACCCCGACCATAAATAGGATGCAGAACATATCCTCCATGAATTTACGCAACCGAGCAAGAGGAGGTTTGAGTGATGAAAATTTGGACATTGGTCTATTGTTTTTGTATCATTTTTTTTTCCCCCATAAGGATGATCAGGAGAACAGGTTCATAATTCTATCTGTTATTGTAGATTTTCGTTGGACTCTCTACCAATTACAAATTGCCTTACTGGAGTTTGGATATTGAACTATTAAGATTAAAAATAGGTTTTTTTTTTCTTTAATAAGAAATAGAGTTATATTAAAATAATGAAATTAAGATTATATATGAATCCCTTTATGGCACCTTCTAGCTAAAATAGAAGTATATCCTATAACAGTAGACACAAATGAAAACTATCTCATGATAAATATAGACAATTAAAAATAAAAAGCTACCTGCACCTAAATATTAATAACAATTGCCGTAGGGTATAAACAGAGCTACTAAGTACTAATGTAGAAATAAAGTTGTTATGAACATCCCATATAACTACATATTCTCAACTTCTATGCCAACTTCTTGGAGAGAGTATGTAGTTCAAAAATAACAATTCCCACCCATCAAATGTCATATTGATGAAGAGATGTACTAAGCCAAAGGGTAGTTGGAGTCTCCCCCATGGATCATAGAAGTCATGCTTGAATTAATTCAAAGAGGGTTTGAGTCTTTGTCAACGTCCCAATCATGCCACCAATAGTTGAAGGAAGCCACCAATAGTGGGAGGAAGTGTTGTTACCAATTCAAGCCAAGCTAGGCCCACCATGATGTTGCTGCCCTCTTCAAGTATGATTGTGAAGAGATTTAAACATCTTGATTGAATCAACACTCATAGAAAAATCATTCGGGATATTTAAATAATTTTACATAAAATTTTAATATTTTAAAATTATTAGAATGTCTTAATTTCTATTTTTCTCTTCCCTTTATTTTATTT